AAAAGAGTTTTTATAGAGGTGAAGACCAGACACTCTATATCGGCGAGCAAGAAACCGAAGAGTATATAAAGACGAGTTGAAGATTGGAGAGTCTATAAAACAGCGGACTGTTTTTTTTTTTTTTTTTTTTTTATCAGAAATCGAGTTGAAGTGGGCAGGGATTATATATGGGCGAATTAGAAGGCCAAAGACGAGCAAAAGATAAAAAAAAAGTACCTATAGAAAGTTTATATAGGCGAGCTGAAGAGAATAGGGGTCTTTTTAGTCTAGCTGAAGAGCAGAAAGTCTATTTAGACCAGCTGAAGAGCAGAAAGTCTATAAAGACGATCTAAAGAGTTTTTTTTCATTAAGAATCGACATTTCTTCGAATGGTCATTATTTCAACGTTATATTCCGTCTTACTTCATCCTATTTCATTCTCTGAAGAATTTCTAAATTGAACCCCAATTATGACTTGTTAAAGTAAAAAAAACATGTTTAAAAAAATATATAAAAATAGACTTGCCCTTAGATACTTAATAAAACCCTTTAAGGGCTTCGCAGCCAATGCGGTCCCAAACTGTATTTGGCAATTAAAATTAACGCACAATCGCTTCTCAATTGGCCAAAGGAATTTCTATGTCATCTGATAACATTGAATTGTCTTAATTAAGATTTTTCTTTTAATTAACCCCATAATGGCAAATATAACGAAAATATGGTTCAAATGTAAAGGTCATTTCGGTTAGTTACACAAAGTATGTGTGTGTGTGTGTGGTCAACATTACCAAATCTCATCTAACACTTTCCGTAGCCTGCGGATACGGTAGGTAAATGCCTTTGTTTGCATTTCATTCATTGAAAGGTAATCAATAAATCATTAACTTCTTGGCAAAGTAGAGACGTATTCAATTAGAAAAGGGTAAGCGGGGCAAATGTAAACGCAAAAATTATTTTTTTGCCAAGTAAAAAAAATGTTTTCTTACGAAATGTGAAAGGCAGCCATAAAGGTCATGACAAAACAATAACCATTTAGTTTTGTCCCTTTTTGTGATATTTGTTTATTTTTTGCTTTGAGTTGGGTTCCCTTATGGTTCACTTGCCTAAAAGTAGGCCGTAATAACTTTATACTTTTGTATGTGACAACCTTAAAGTAGGCTTCTTTGTTTAAGCAACCACCGACACAGAACTGTGTCCTAGATTTCATTTCTTCTGCTGTCCCCGACCAGACATTTTTATGAGTTTCAAAGTCAAATAACTTTTTTTGTTTTCACATTTTCGCATAAAATAATAACAACAGCAGATTACGTGCGTATGGTCTTAACCTGCCACCACAATTTTTTCAACACCACTCACCCGAATGTAAACGTAGGCCATTTTACTTCCAACGAAATTATCACCTTTGTTAAAATCTTTGAAAATCACGCAATCATCAGCGGGAATTTAGTTAACACGTGAATTCCTTTACGGTGGCTTTGGCGTTTTTATGCGTGTGTGTATCCATTGCATACTTTAGGGGCGTATTTGTGTGCGTGTCTGCGGTATGTGAAAAATGTTCAGAGATTATTGTGCGTGTCTGTCTGCACGAGTAAGATGCGATTTAAACGACGTACATATATGCAAAGATATGATCTGTGGGGAGTAATCATGAATGTCCTAATGAATAATTATTTGTATGTTTGTTTGTTTGTTTTTTTTTTTTTTTGCATTAAATGTTTTGTTTATAGCTTGAATTTTCTAGTAGATCGAGAATCTGAAACACAATTTCAATCATGAAGCTAATTACTGACAAGCTCAAACCAAAATTTATTACGATTATTCTTTGTCGATACATGACAATATGCCAGAAAGCTCTTGTCTCCCACTTTTGCTCAAAGTCATATACTTTTTTAGCTGTTTTAACGATTTGGATCGTGTGAAGTTTAAAAGTATCAGTCGGTTTTGCCGACAGATGTATAGCCTCAGACTTGGGTTATGATTATTGAAACTGTTGACCCTTTATGGGGGAGGTTCCGCAGGAGTGGAACCTGAGTCTGATATCACATTTCAAGAAAAATGTGATAATTTTTAAAAATATTTTATTATATATATTATATATTATATTATATATATAGTAGTGAACCGAAGGGTTCCACTTCATCTAATAGTAATAAAAGCATTGGTATGCGTAAAAGTTAAAGGAGATTGAACATTTATTTCCAATTTTATGCAAATTAATGATTTTATAAAAGTTATAGGAGATATAAATATTGAAAATTGTGACCCTATGTGGGGGAGGTACCAGAAGGAGTGAACCCGTATATGCCATCTTGACACTAATTTTTCGGATGTGAAAATATTGGGCTGTGCGAAATATGAACGGACTCTTATTTCACATTTTATACTAGTTATAATTGTTCGAAATTATTACACTTTGTGAGGAAGGTACTTGATAGTGTGAGCCGATATAGAGCATTTTCATAAATAACCAAAATTATTTTTTATACACTCCGCCATAGTATGGAGGGTATATTAAGATAGTCATTCCGTTTGTAATACCTCGAAATATACATTTCGAAATACCTCTGTCAAATTTTATCGAGATCGGTTCATTCGTTCCCACGCCTCTCACACCCGCCCCTGCCGACCGAGGGTGCGACCTCCCTATACGTAGAGAGCGCATACACACTAAAGTCCGGACTAAGGCGGGTTAGCAATGGTTTCACACCGGCTACAGAAACTACATCAGCCAGTAAATAAAATAATAACAAGTAAAAAAGCAGTAAGTTCGGCCGGGCCGAACTTTGAATACCCTCCACCATTTGGAACGAATTAGAAAATTTTCAAAAAAATAAAATCCACTAAAAATTCTTTTAAAATCTTTAAAATATCTAATATAGGAAGGTGCCGATATATGGGGGATATACGATATTGTGGACCTATAAAGACAAATCGATGTCTGCGTGTAAAGTACTTACAAGGAACTCCTTGTATGCGTTTTCAGATAATTCCATTGGAAAAAGTGGATAAAATCATCAAAATACCGAATATAGGGGAGTACCGTTATATGGGGGATATACGATATCGTGGACCTGTATAGACAATTCTCTCTCAGGGGGTGAAGTACGCACAAGGAACTCCTTGTGTGGATTTTAAGACAATTCCATTGAAAAGTGTGGCTAACATCATCAAAATACCGAATATCGGGGGGGTACCGTTATATGGGGGATATACGATATCGTGGACCTGTATAGACAATTCTCTCTTTCAGGGCTGAAGTACTCACAAGGAACTCCTTGTGTGGATTTTAAGACAATTCCATTGAAAAGTGTGGCTAACATCATTAAAATACCGAATATCGGGGGTACAGTTATATGGGGGATATACGATATCGTGGACTATTCTTTTGAGGGGGTAAAATGCCCACAAGGGACTCCTTTTGTGGAATTTCAGACAATTCCATTAAAAAATGTGGGTAAAATCATCAAAATACGGAATATCGGGGGGTACAGTTATATGGGGGCTATACGATATTGTGGACCTATATAGATAATTCTCTGCCGAGGTATAAAGTACCCACAAGGAACTCTTTGTGTGGATTTTCAAACAATTCCGTTGAAAAATGTGGGTAAAATCATCAAAATACCGAATATCGGGAGGTACCGTTATATGGGAGCTATACGATATTGTGGACCTATATAGATAATTCTCTGCCGAGGTATAAAATACCCACAAGGAACTTCTTGTGTGGATTTTCAGACAATTCCGTTGAAAACTGTGGGTAAAATCATCAAAATACCGAATATCGGGGGTACCGTTATATGGGGGCTATACGATATCTTCGAACTTGACCTGCCTGCAGATAAAAGAGAGATCTGTGCAAAATTTTAGCTTCCTATCTTAATTCGTTTAGACTGTAGCGTGATTACAACAGACGGACAGACGGACGAGCAGGTCTAAATCGTCTTAGAATTTTACGCTGATCAAGAATATATATACTTTGTTGGGTCTAAAATGATTATTTTGATAAGTTACAAACGGAATGACGAACTTAATATACCCTCCATACTTTTTTGGTGGAGGGTATAAAAATAACAGACACACACAGATTAGTAAACATACGTTACAAGGTACAGATTTTAAAAAACGCTGCTCATTGGCTGTGTCTACTGTACCGCAAAGGGAAATGTAGATCAAGTGCCATATGATCAAGCAGCTTAGTAATTTATAACAGAATTTCTAAGCTGCTGGATCATCTGGAGTAATATAAGTAGTATGCACTCCAGAAGAATGATATTTGGTACCGGACAACAGATACTGCTCGAAAATACCTCTGTTCAGATTTGGATATCCATATATATCTTTATCCGATATCAGGTTTATTGTGCCCCAAATAGCTAATATCAGCCACAACAGACTGAATTTTGGCAATTACGACTGAATTAATCCTATAAACCAGTACTTCAAATTTCGAGTATATCGGTTCAGATATAGCTATAGCTCCCATATATTTGTTTTATTCGATTTGGTGTTAAAGGCTCTCACAAGCGTAATATGCATTCGACAACAATGATATTTGGTACCAGTTATCAGATACAGCCAAGATATAGCTCTGACAAATTTTATCAAGATCGGTTCTGATTGAATCCCGAAATTCACTCCATTTGGGCTGACATTAGCCACTATTTGCACAATAAACTTTAAATCGGACTAAGGATATATATGTGAGGGACTTAGACATCAAATCGGATGAAACATATATATATATATATATATATATATATATATATTAGCCACTATTTGCACAATAAACTTTAAATCGGACTAAGGATATATATGTGAGGGACTTAGACATCAAATCGGATGAAACATATATATATATATATATATATATATATATATATATATATATATATATATATATGTTTCATCCGATTTGATGTCTAAGTCCCTCACATATATATCCTTAGTCCGATTTAAAGTTTATTGTGCAAATAGTGGCTAATGTCAGCCCAAATGGAGTGAATTTCTTCTTCTTCTAGGCGAATTCTCACATCACTAATGCCTTTGGTGGTAATCAACAAATGAAGTACGTGTTCTTGGTAAAAGCATTTGCCAGAATTTAATAACCATTTTACATGTATTGTCGCCCGGGCATGATAAACACAAGTATTTCCCTTAGATGTTCAGTGGAGCACTTCAAATGTAGATGGGAATCATGTATTTGGTGTCAATGTCACTAATTCAATTACGCGTTCATTGGACAAGACGAGGGTCATTGATTTTTGAATGTTGCTGTTGTTGTAGTCGTTGATGGAGCCCCTTTCCATTACAGCTCACACAAGGTTTTGCAGGTATTTCAATCAATTGCAAGTCTTTGTCTTGTGTCTAAAAATAGATAACGTTCAGATACGAAATAATAATTTGAAAGCAGCTGTATGAAATTTTAAAGATAATAACGCCTTAAAATATGCGTCATAAATAATTATTATGAATTTCATTAGAACTTTGATGTGCTGTTGCTATTTCTTGTAATGAAAATGAAAATAAACGAATTAAAATCCAGTGCCATTGACTTTTCCGAACAAAAGATAAATTTTCAGAAAAAATATAAATTTAAATAAATTTTATTGTAAATAAAAAGTTTTTATTGACTTATAAATTTCTGAGAGTTTTGAAGATATAGCTTAACCCTCCTAAAAATAAGCTAAAAGTTTCACACAACTTGTATCATTTCATTATAAGCATTTGTGTTCGACTGGGATTTTCCAAAAGCCTACATTAAGGTGTTTTTGCTAGTCCTTACGTTTAAAAATCCTTTCCAGAACATATACAAACATAACATTTTTGTATTTCTTTTTCTTCTTGATTTCTTTTTAATGTTACTCCAACCCCAGCTTTTTTTTGTTTTGCTTTCTACACTGTTGATTTTTCTTCTTGTTTTGTTGCTGTTTAGAGGTTTTTTCTTCAACTTGTTGCTGTTGGCAACTGTAGCTGATTATGTTTTATGGTCTTATTTTTGTATATTACATAGTATGTGAATCTGCTTAGTTCTACATATTTATGTATCTGATATACGACTATGTTTTCATAACGTGCCTTAGAATAGTTACACATGATTTTAATTGTTGCATACTTTCAGGATGGTAACAAGGAATATAGGTTCTTGCAATAAATATATGCAAAAACGCAGAACTATTTAAAATTGTCTACTTACCGAAAACATTTTGAAGATGGCACTGAGAAGGCGTGATTAAATGTCTTGTATCTTCTTCCTTTTAACATTCAACATCGAAAAGTTAATTTTTGTGTATGTCGCTGATTCTAATGGTAAACCAAAGTCATTCTATATTCAAAAGGCTTTCTGTGGGTATTTTGTACACAGATCGCAACGAAACCCCCAAGATCTCATCAAAAAACACCTTCAAAAGCCTTCTGTAACTAGAAACTCTCAAATGTCTCTTATGCATAGAAAAGGCTTGACTTTTTCTTTTGCAAGATCCGAGCAGCCGAGACCACTGAATTAAGTTTTTTTCAGCAATTATTTTATTATATTATATGGTACCCTACACCACTATGCGCATTTAGTAGACCTCACGTAATAAAAAGTTTATACTGGGAATGTATGTGAACCAAATAACATTGCTGTGTAGTACACAATATGACTTTGATAGGGATTACTTTAAAAATATTTATTGGTGCAATATATATACGGATCGAGTTTTACCAAGTGGTAAAATTCGGCAGAATATGAAAAAATCTATTCCATTTGGGCTGATATTACGTAAAATCGGTTGAAGACGTATATCGAAGCTACATAGAAATCTGAACCGATCTCGATAAAAGTTGACCGAGGTATTTTTAAGCAGTATCTGATGCCCGGTTTCAAATATCATTGTTGTGGAGCGCATATTACGCATGTGAGGGACTTTAAAACCAAATCGGATGAAACATACATATGGGAGATATTGCTATATCTGAACGAATTTTCACCAAAATTTGAATCACTTGATTTTAGGCTGAATTCCGTTATAAATGCAAAAATATAGTCTGATATTAGCCATTTAGTGCACAAAAACCTGAAATAGCTATAGCTCCCATATATATTGTTCATCCGATGTGTTATTTTTGTCTCACTCTGTAACAACAATATTTGGGGAAATATATTAAATACAACTCAGAAATACCTTGCTAAATTTTATCGAGATCGGTTTAGATTTGGATATAGCTCCCATATACAACTTCGTCCGATGTACCTTTTATTGTACACCAAACGTCTAATATTTGTCCAAATGGGATGGAATTTGGCACATGCGACTGAATTAAGTCTAGAAGCTAGTATGCCAATTTTGGTGAAGATCGGTTTAGATTTGGATATAGCTCCCATATATATCTATATCTGATTTGAAATTAACTTTGCACCAAATGGGCAATACAAGTCCGAATTAAAAAGATACAAATGTTTCGGCATATTTAGTCCTTTCAACTTTAAATTATAATTATAATCATAGCGTGTATAATTGAATTCTCCCAAAAAATTTTAATTGTTATGTTGAGCTCTACTAAATTAGCAAAGTGGTGTAGGGTATCATAAAGTCGGCCCCACCCGACTTTAGGACATTCTTTACTGGTTATTTCATCAAACATCCATTTTACCTTGCGGCCCCCCGTACGTATTGGACATACTGGCAGCATTAGAGGGGCTTCGCCTACAATTGTTCCCCAAGTCTGTACGGTGCAGACTTACCAAACACAATATACATAAGTTTTACCATTGACCCATAACCAACAATTTATAAACCCCAACCCAAAAGCTGGTACCAAAATAATAATACCAAATTTTAGATTTCCAACTGTATTCCTTTCCAAATACCTAATTTAACTTTTTTAGTACATTTTTTGTAAAACCACCTTCAAACTTCAATTATACACACCAACAGTGGCAAATTTACATTTAAAGCATTGTACCTTCTCCCTCTACAAAATTTAACACCCTTAGTATACTTGTAGCATATGTTTTATAGCTTTTAGTACACTTAGTACACATTTCCATTCCTTTAGCAACCCTCATTTCAAATTTCTAGCTTTATCCCTTTCTCAAATACTTAATTAAGTACCATATACTAATTTTAGCACTTTTTATTACGTATTTCCAAATCTACATCCATTTATCAATCCCACCACATAAAAATAAATCTTAACACCAAATTATTGTTTTCCAACTTTATTCCTACCAAATTTAGTACCATTCATCAATTCAAACTACATCTTTTTTTAACCCCAACCACTAACAGTGACCCCAATGCCAGTATTTCAAATTTCCAGCTCTATCCGTTTACCCAAAATAAAATTTAGTACTGTTCTTACACTTAGTACACATTTCCATTTGGTACATCCATTCTATACCCCATAAACGATCGTCATTCCAAATATGAATCTATATTCTTTCCCCCAAATACTAATACCATTTTATATTTCTTAGTACACATTTCCAAGTCTACCTCCATTTATCAAACCCACGGCACAAAAAAATAATCCCAACGCCAAATCTCTGATTTCCAACTTTATTCCTTTCCCAAACACACATTTAGTTCAATTTAGTACTTTTCCTTTACTTGTTGTATGCTTTTCTAAAACCACTCATTTTTTCATACTACCCACCAGTTTCATCCGTTCATCCACATTTGGTATGTCATTTAGTACAGTTCTTTCACCAAACCCAATTACGTATATCAACTATACTTCCGAAACTTAATTCTTTAACAAAAGACATGATAACAAATAACAAAAAATTATTGACATAATAACAAAAAACATTAACATTAAGAACAAATTTGAAAATTAAAAAAAACATACGTTAAAAACTTTGTTAAAATCTTAACAATACATGATATAGGCCTTTACCGCTATAATTGGGTCTATACGAAAACGTGGATGTGCACAAGTTATTCTTGTTATAGGCCATTACAATATTCAAATACGAAATTCGAAAAAATTCCGGTGAATAGTGTCGCACAATCATCAAAATACCGAATATATGGAGGTACCGTTTTATGGGGGCTATACGAAGAAATGTACCTGCACACCAATTTTCTGTCACAGGTTGTAGTATCCGTTAAGATTTCCACAAACGAAATTTGAAACAATTCTTATATAACTTATAGGGGTCCTAAACGACGACGTAGAACTGAATTGATAATTTTCAGTAACAGGCTGTAGTACCAATTAGGAACTTCAACTACGAAATTGATAACAGTTCCGGTGAATAATGTAGCTAAAATCATCATAATACCGAATATCGGGAGGTATATGGAGGCTATAAGAAGACCTGGACCTGCACAGCCAATTTTCTGTCACAGGATGTGGCACCCATTACGAACTTTTATAACGAAATATGAAACAATACCGGTGAATAATATCGCTAAAATCATTAAAATACTGAATATAGAGAGGTACAGTCATATGGGGCACATACCCCATTTACAATACCAACAGTCCTGCAGACCAAACACACATTTGAGTAATATTTTATCAACCTACTTCAATTTGTTCGGAAGCTAGAGTGATTCCACAGACGGAGGGACATCTCTAAATCGACATAGAAGTTTATGCTGGGCTCTAAAATGTATATTTCGAGGTGTTACAAACGGAATAACAAACTTAATATACCCTCAATACTATGGTGGAAGGTATACAAAATTGGTACATCTGTCCTAATTCCCATCAGCGATACTCTTTAGAAACTCCAGAATTCTAGTACAATTTGTTTGCCCAATTTAATGGATTAATTTTTTTTATTTTTTTAACTCCCATTAATTCCAATTTCAAAAAAAAAAAAAAATAGCCTTATCTCACCCCTACACACCAACATTGATCCACGTGCAAAATTTTACTAGCATATGACTCTAACATGACGCGTAAACAAGCGGTAAAACAATGAAGTATCATTTGATGGATTTAATAAAAATAACATTAATTGAAATTACTTTCAAAATAAAATTACTTTCAAAAGCATTGTCATGTGCAAACTTCACACATATCTTTCTTGATGTTCTGGCACTCTACAATCATGTGGCCTTAACATATTCTGTTAATGTCAAATGAACACGTTTTCAACTCTACAAGTCACTCTTCCCTTCCAGAGTTATACATATTATACTCCACTCTCTCACTCTCTCTCTCTCTGCATTTCCCCCCATTTTCCCCATGCCCCAACCTTTTTTTGCCAAACGTTTAACAACAATGACCTCTTCACCCATTTCACTCCTACTCCAGTTTCAAGGTGAAAATATAATAAAGTTGTTTTATTTTATGATGTTGTTGTTGTTGCTGTTTTTAGTTTGTTGATTTCTTTTGTAATTGTTTTGACTCTTCCCATTTTTTTCGCAACTTTGAATCAAACAGGGGGAGGGGAGCATCCGAAAGCTTTACTAACGCCTACGTCAATTATTTTACAGACAAATACAGATTTACAGAAACTGTTTGCGTTTGAATAAAAGCTCTTTTATTGTATCTTTTGCTTGACTTTCTTCAATGTACGTCCGTCCGATGATACGTACGGCTTATAATCCGCCTTTACGTATTTATTTTTTTC